GGCCTCAACCCCGACGCTCCAGAGGCATATGTTGGCCGACGCCCTGGTAGATTGATGAAAGTTGTCATATCGTTGATTTGAGAAGCAGGCAAGCCCCGAGACGCTATCCCCCCATGTAGCCTCGCTAACGGGTCCGTACGCATAGTGTCCGTAATGCGTCCGTAGAAGGTAGATACGGCCTTAACCCCGACGCTCCAGAGTCATATGTTGGCCGACGCCCCTCGTAGATGGATGAAAGTTGTCATATCGTTGATTTGAGAAGCAGGCAAGCCCCGAGACGCTATATCCCCCCATGTAGCCTCGCTAACGGGTCCGTACGCATAGTGTCCGTAATGCGTCCGTAGAAGGTAGATACGGCCTTAACCCCGACGCTCCAGAGGCATATGTTGGCCGACGCCCCTGGTAGATTGATAAAAGTTGTCATATCGTTGATTTGAGAAGCAGGCAAGCCCCGAGACGCTATCCTCCCCATGTAGCCTCGCTAACGGGTCCGTACGCATAGGGTTTGTGATGCGTCCGTAGAAGGTAGATACGGCCTTAACCCCGACGCTCCAGAGTCATATGTTGGCCGACGCCCCTGCTAGATTGATAAAAGTTGTCATATCGTTGATTTGAGAAGCAGGCAAGCCCCGAGACGCTATCCTCCTCCCTTCTGTAGCATCGCTAACGGGTCCGTACGCATAGTGTCCGTGATGCGTCCGTAGAAGGTAGATACGGCCTTAACCCCGACGCTCCAGAGTCATATGTTGGCCGACGCCCCTGGTAGATTGATGAAAGTTGTCATATCGTTGATTTGAAAAGCAGGCAAGCGCCGAGACGCTATCCCCCATGTAGCCTGGCTAACGGGTCCGTACGCATAGTGTCCGTGATGCGTCCGTAGAAGGTAGATACGGCCTTAACCCCGACGCTCCAGAGTCATATGTTGGCCGACGCCCCTGGTAGATTGATGAAAGTTGTCATATCGTTGATTTGAGAAGCAGGCAAGCCCCGAGACGCTATCCCCTATGTAGCCTGGCTAACGGGTCCGTACGCATAGTGTCCGTGATGCGTCCGTAGAGAGGTAGATACGGCCTTAACCGCTGACGCTCCAGAGTCATATGTTGGCCGACGCCCCTGGTAGATTGATGAAAGTTGTCATATCGTTGATTTGAGACAGCAGGCAAGCGCCGAGACGCTATCCTCCCCATGTAGCCTCGCTAACGGGTCCGTACGCATAGTGTCCGTGATGCGTCCGTAGAAGGTAGATACGGCCTTAACCTCGACGCTCCAGAGTCATATGTTGGCCGACGCCCCTGCTAGATAGATGAAAGTTGTCATATCGTTGATTTGAGAAGCAGGCAAGCGCCGAGACGCTATCCCCTATGTAGCCTGGCTAACGGGTCCGTACGCATAGTGACCGTGATGCGTCCGTAGAAGGTAGATACGGCCTTAACCCCGACGCTCCAGAGTCATATGTTGGCCGACGCCCCTGGTAGATTGATGAAAGTTGTCATATCGTTGATTAAGAAGCAGGCAAGCCCCCGAGACGCTATCCTCCCCATGTAGCCTCGCTAACGGGTCCGTACGCATAGTGTCCGTGATGCGTTCGTAGAAGGTAGATACGGTCTTAGCCCCGACGCTCCAGAGCCAAATGTTGGCCGACGCCCCTGGTAGATTGATGAAAGTTGTCATATCGTTGATTTGAGAAGCAGACTAGCCCCGAGACGCTATCCTCCCCATGTAGCCTCGCGAACGGGTCCGTACGCATAGTGTCCGTGATGCGTCCGTAGAAGGTAGATACGGTCTTAGCCCCGACGCTCCAGATTCATATTTTGGCCGACGCCCCTCGTAGATTGATGAAAGTTGTCATATCGCGATTTGAGAAGCAGGCAAGCCCCGAGACGCTATCCCCCTCCCCATGTAGCCTCGCTAACGGGTCCATACGCATAGTGTCCGTGATGCGTCCGTAGAAGGTACAGAGTCATATGTTGGCCGACGCCCCTGGTAGATTGATGAAAGTTGTCATATCGTTGATTTGAGAAGCAGGCAAGCGCCGAGACGCTATCCCCCCATGTAGCCTCGCTAACGGGTCCGAACGCATAGTGTCCGTGCTGCGTGCGTAGAAGGTAGATACGGCCTTAACCCCGACGCTCCAGAGTTATATGCTGGCCGACGCCCCTGGTCGATTGATGAAAGTTGTCATATCGTTGATTTGAGAAGCAGACAAGCCCCGAGACGCTATACCCCCCCATGTAGCCGCGCTAATGGGCCCATACACATAGGGCCCGTAATGTGCTCGTATAAGAAAGATATGGTCTTAGCCACCGACGCTCCCAGAGCCATATGTTGGCCCGACGCCCCCTGGTAGATTTGATGAAAGTTGGCATCATCGTTGATGTTGAGGAAGGACGGCAAGGCCCCGGAACGCTATCCCCCCTCCCTC